GGATTTTAAAGTTTTTCAGCAAAAGGTGATGGAAGCATACATATAGTATGACTCCATTTATATAACACTTAAAAGGAGGCAAAACTAAGCAGTGCAAAAATACAAATACAAACAAGGGAATGATGAACAGAAAACCTAGAATAGTAGTACCTCTGGAGGAGGGAAGTGAATGTATCAAAGAGGAGCTATAATGAGTATCAAAGTTATGAGTAATATTTTATTCTTAAAGAGAGGTGATGACTACATGGGTATTAATTATTCATCCTTAAATGTATACTTTGTACATACCCTGAAGAAAATTGGAGGAAAGTAGAGACCTGTATGTAGACAACTCTTTTTGAAGAGGCTTCACCTTGATTGGGACAAAAATAAAAAATAGTGAAAAGATGTGAAAGTTTAGATTTTGTTGTGCTCTTACACTTTTTAAGTTAGGAAACAAGAGCTGAATAGTGTAGAAAGGTTACATTGGAGAGAAGTTGAAGAAACAAGAAAGGAGAAAACTGATGTAACAAGTTAACTTAAATAATTGGAAGGAGAGTCCAAAACACACCTGAAGAGATCAATCTTTGAAAGGAGGTGGGATTCTACCTAATTTCAATCAAAGTGGAATAAAGAAGAATAGAAACAGGTGAGCAGATTTATACATTTGGTGATGGGAAACCAAGGTATATCATATCTGATGGCTTGTTCCTCCTCTTGAATGAGGAAAGATCATTAGCTGAAAGGAAAGGATCAAAGTGGTTTTCAGAAAAAGTGAAAGTACCTGAAAACAAACTGACCGCAGGTAAATGCAGGTGCTTTCTTGGACATTTTACCTTACCTATTTCCTTTGTCTCTGCCTGCAATGTATTTCCTCTTCACTTTTTTCCAGAGAGTCTTCCCATCCTTCAATACACACCACATCTTCTGTCCTCTGAAAACTTTTCTGACTATTGCATGGTAATCCTTTCCTTAAATCTTACAATTGACTATATCACTCATGTTTCACTTACTCACAGAATGTCTCGCAATAACTCTTTTGTATTGTACATGATTTTTTATATTGTCTCCTTAACTACAATTCTTTCATTATAGCAAAAATGAGAGCAGAAATTGTCTTTCATTAAACATTGTCCCTCCTTTCAGAAAAAATGTATTCTCATACACAGTGAACATCTGGATGTATTTTCTAAATATGCCATCTACTGAAACAAATATCCTTAAAGGAAATAAAATAACTGAAAGTGAATTTTGAAACCTCTATTATTTTTTTGAGGTTTCATGGAAGGTTTTATTTTAATTTAATAAATCTTTATTTTTCACTTTATTACAATTGTTTTTCCCCCTCATAGCTCACCTCCATCAGGTTCCTACCCCACCCTCTGCCCTTACCTCCCCCTCACTGTCCTCATCGTTAGTTGTATGCTTTTTGTCCAGTCTCTTCCTGCATCCCCACTGCCCTTTTCCCCTTAGAATTGTCAGTCCACTCCCTTTCTATGTCCCTGATTCAATTATATTCACCAGTTTATTCTGTTCATCAGATTTTTTATTCCCTTGAGCTTTTTTTATTCACTTGTTTATAGATACATATTTGTTGTTCATAATTTTTATCTTTGCCTTTTTCTTCTTTATCCTATTTTTAAAGAATACCTTTCAGCATTTCATATAATTCTAGTTTGGTGGTGGTGAACTCCTTTAGCTTTTTCTTACCTGTGAAGCTCTTTATCTGCCCTTCAATTCTGAATGAGAGCTTTGCTGGGTAATCTTGGTTGTAGTTTCTTGCTATTCATCACCTTGAATATTTCTTGCCATTCCCGTCTGGCCTGCATAGTTACTGTTGAGAAATCAGCTGACAATCATATCGGTGCTCCTTTGTAGGTAACTTTTTTTCTCTTGCTGCTTTTAATATTCTCTCTTTGTCTTTTGCTCTTGGAATTTTAATTATGATGTGTCTTGGTGAGGTAGTCTTTGGATTCCTTTTGTTTGGGGTTCTCTGCGCTTCCTGGACTTGTATTTCTTTCATCAGGTGGGGGAAGTTTTCAGTCACTATTTTTTCAAATAGGTTTTCAGTATCTTGCTCTCTCTTTTCTTCTGGGACCCCCATAACTCTGATGTTGGTATGCTTGAAGTTGTCCCAGAGGCTTCTTACACTATTTTAAACTTTTTGGATTCTTTTTTCTTTTTGCTTTTCCAGTTGGGTGTTTTTTACTTCTTTGTATTCCAAATCTTTGACTTGGTTTTTGCAATCCTCTAGTCTGCTTTTAGGTCTCTGTATAATATTTTTTATTTCAGTCAGTGTATGCTTAATTTCTAGTTGATCCTTTTTTTAATTCTCTAGGGTAGGAGTGTCGAACTCAATCAGAGAAGGGACCAAAATCTAAAATCCAGCCTAAATCACGGGCCGAATGGTTTACTGAACAGTCATAAACTGTCATTGTGATGGAAACGCAGCGGAGTGCAGTGATGACAGCGCGGTGCGGGCCACATTGCAAGGCCTGGCGGGATGGATTTGGCCCGAGGGCCTTGTGTTTGACACATGTGCTCTAGGGTCTCATTAAATTTATCAGCCTTTTCTAGGAAATTCTTGAAAAACCTTATAACTGTGGTTTTGAACTCTATATCCAGTCATTTACTTTCCTCCATTTCCTTCATTTGTGACCTGCCTCTTTTGTTACCACATTTTGGCTGCTTCCCTGAGTTGATGGAGTGGCTTTGTGTGCTAGGTGTCCTAGCAGGGCCCAGTGGCTCAGCCTCCCCAGTTACCTGAGGTGGACACGCTTTGTGAGCTGTGAGTGCAATCTTATTATAGTTAAGCCTAGATTGTTAGTATTACTGGGGGGAGTTGACCTCCAGGCCAATTGGCTGTGATGATCAGCTGTGACTCCGCTGGGAGAGCTTCTGTGCTCAGCGGAGTCTCAGGGCAGAGCAGATAGCCTTGGTTTCCCATCAGCCCTGCCCTATGAGGCCCCTGTGTCTCCGTGTCCCGTGGCAATGGCTGCACGCACCTCTGAGAGAAGGCTGCCCTTGAGATTCGTCCTCTGCCAAACAGTCCAGTTTCTCCCCGAATGAGTCTGGGTATCCAAAGTCTCACTCAGAACTGGATTTCAGTGCAGTCGGGAGGTTTTGTTTCCCTCCTGAAAGAAAAAGCTAGCTGCGCTTGTTGCCTGCCCTTTCTGCATGCCGTGAGTAAGCCAGCCACGTATTCGGCCACCCACCCTTTCTGCATGCAGGACTCCATGCCTCTGTCCTCCACAGCTCCTCTGGGTCTCAGTGTCCTTTTATCTTTCTTTCTAGTTGTAGAATTTGCACTCAGCCAGTTTTCCAGTGGTTCTGGATGATGTCCACTCTGTCTTACAGTTACATTTTTTAAAATTGTTGAATGAGACAGCAGTATAGGTGTTTAGCTATGCCACCATCTTGGTTTCTTTCTCAAAACCTCTATTATTCTTATAACTGCTCCTGGTTTTCAGTTTTTGGTTCTAGAACTTTGTTTTATTGTTGACAGCATTACAGATGTCCTTAATTTACACACATCCTTTGCCTACCTCCACCAAATCTCTGCCTTTTTAGAAGTTAAGACAGAAAGCCAAGGTTAACACATAATTGGTTTGCATGTTTTAAAAAATTCATGCTCATTAAGCTATTACTTTTTCTTACAATTTTCTGTCTAAAGTTATACATATGTCTCCTTTTTCCCCAGTTGACCCCCTCCCCCATCCCTTCCCAGCTCATGCAAGCCCCCACCACCTCAGTGTCTGTGTCCATTGGTTATGCTAATGTGCATGCATATTAGTCCTTTGGTTTCTCTCTCACCCTCCCCCCCTCTCCCCTTTGTCTATAGATCGATCTATTCTTGTTTATCAAATTATGTTGATCATTATAACCCACATATCAGTGACATCATGTGATATTTATCTTTCTCCGACTGGCTTATTTCACTTAGCATAACACTCTCCAGTCCATCCATGCTGTTGCAATTGGTAAAAGTTTTTACAATTTTTATTTGAGCTAGTTCTACCAAAAAATGAGGTGAAATGTTAATCAGCGAAGACAAATTCTGTTAGGAAATCCATCTTGTGGTTGAAAGTAGTTCCTTATGCTAACAGTTCCTTTCAGTGACCATCTTTAATTCAGAAATAGAACATCCAGCAAATTCACAAATTTATGGTTAAAATGTATTACTACTAGAAAGAAAAATTAAATATGTGCATCAACTGAGTGTGGTTTTAGTTGTCAAAAAAAAAGAATACTCATCAAAAAGGGAGACAATATGCATAGAAGAATGGACTCCACATAATATAGGGAACTGGTACCTACAACTATAGACATACTTGTAATAAAACTATTCAAATACACTGAATTTTGGAAAAAATTTCTCTTGAAATAGGTAAGCCATTTTATTTCTGAATCCACTTCAAAGTAGGTCTGTTGATTATTACTTCCTGGATTTAAATCAAGTGTCCTGATCCCTTCCATGCTGGCTATACTACCTCACTCTAACTATAAACATCCAACAGAGAATAGAAAACAAAATACTTATTTAATTTGAATGGTGTCACTTACACATAATTATTTGTAGCCCAAATGGATTCTGAGTTAAAAACACTGGCTCTATCTTAGCAGATAACCTACTTCCTCCATACAAATTAGCCATTTGAGCAGTAAATTATGTTTCTCATCAGAAGAGAACTAGTAATGGTTACAAATGTAGTTGTGAATCACTGTGTTTAAATATTTTAATTGCCAAATTAAATACCAGGAATTTTGGTCCACCTAAAAGTGGGAGTAGGAAGTGAAAACTGATGTATCCCTCGTGAGTAAACAGAACAGCACAATAGCACAAGGGTCTGTGCACTATGCTACCTTTTTGCCACTTCTAGATTAAGTGACAGGTACCTTTTAAGGATCCAAGGAGCATGTAGAGGTAGAAAGGTCAGTCCTAGAGTTAGGATATTGAAATTCCAAAAGATAATAATATAGACATAGCTAAATTAAAAAAACAAAAACAAAAACTATTGTACTCCAAATAAATTTTTTGTGATTTATTATTGCATGGTTATTAACAAAAAATTATTTTACTCAGAAAACTTACATGAATTGATTTTGTATTAGTTTTTCCACATGACTCTTCAGGACAATCTCATCAGCTGCACAAACCTGATACTCTATCTTCTCTTGCTGTTTTGTCCTCTCCAATAATGCCTCGTGTAGTGGAGGTAATGCATTGTATGAACTCAATAAATAAAGCCGACTTGACAAAGTTTGGTTTATTTCTTGAATCTTTAAGGCCTTCATGATAGCAGGTGCAAACTTGGAGTAATGAGCTGTCGATGTGACAATCACTGGGCACGTTTTGTCTTGCATTCTATCTGCAACCACTTTTGCAATGGCAGTGTGTGGATCCAAAATATACCTGGAATTGTTGTAGGTGGAGTGAATAGCTGCTAGGCACTCTCCCTCAGAGCACCAGTCGGCTACAAAATCCTGCTGAAGTTTCTCAACTAGATTCTTTTCTATCTGAAAGTGATGCTGCTCTTCTAATTGATTAAATAATTTTGTCACTAATTGTCCATCTTTATTAGCAAGCAAGTGTAAATGTCGTTCCAGGTTTGAAGATTTAAGAATATCTATTGCTGGTGAGAAAGTTTGTGCTAATTTCCTTTCTCTTAGGTCATAATGTCCTGTTTTTATAAAATCAGTCAAAACGTGGTTCTCATTCGAGGCACAAATAAATTTTCGAATAGGGATTCCCATCATTTTGGCATACACTGCGGCTAAAATGTTACCGAAGTTTCCTGTGGGAATACAGACATCCACTGGGCTTCCAAAGGAAATAAAGCCTTGGCTAACAAGATCGAGATATGCAGAAGCATGATAAACTACTTGGGGAAGCAATCGGCCCCAGTTTATGGAATTCGCTGAACTTAAGATTGTTCCATATTCCACAGTAAGAAAGCCAGTAAAGTCAGAATCTTTAAAAATTCTTTTTATAGCTGTCTGGCAAAAATCAAAATTCGACTTGACACCTATTGCCCATCCATTTTCTTCCTGACTGCCAATTATCTGTGCTTTTTGAAAATCACTTATCCCATTCTCAGGGAAAAAGGTGGCCACAGCTATTCTTTGCTTGTCATTTTTATTAAGATTACTAAAACCATTTAAGACAGCACTCCCTGTGTCTCCTGAAGTTGCTACAAGTATCATATAATTGCAACTGGGTGGAATACAGTGTGCAAAAAGATGAGGCATAAGCTGTAAAGACAAATCTTTAAATGATCCTGTTGGTCCATAAAACAACTCCAGGATGAACTGGTTGCCTGAAAGATGCCTGACAGGGGCAATTTTTGAGCAGACAAAGTTTTCCCCATAAGCACTTTCAATCATTTCTCCCAATCTGGCAGCAGGTATGTCAGCAGGATGTATACACTTTTCCAACAGTATTTGTGCTCTTTCTATGTAGGTTGCTCCTACTAATCTTTTCCACTCCCCACAACTTAATTTTGGAAATTCCTTCTCAGGAACAAAGAGTCCACCATCAGATGCTAAACCTTCAATCACAGCTTCACTAAAGAATTTTGTCAAAACCTTCTGTTCACAGTCTTTAGGCCAAATGTGTCTTGTTGAAATGAATGTTTCTGAGTCCACATCTTGGTATCTTTTAACTTCATTAAGCACTTTGTCAGCTACCTCCTCTGGGGTAGCCCCAATTTCACAAAAAACACGGGTATCATACCACTTCTTATAATACTGCTTTCTAAATTTAAGTAAGTCTATCATAGTTGTCCCAGAATTCTGACCTACAATCCTATCTATTTTCATTAACTTTAGACGATTAACTATATCTATTAGAGGTACATCCAGGTATACAATTATTCCATTTTTCTTCAGATGCCACATGCTAGTATCATGCATTGGGTTAGACCCAGTAAGGGAAATCACACTTCCAGATGTAGAGAAGTTTAACACAGCTTTTCCTTCCTCTTCTAAAAATTGTTCATTACCAACATCCTGTAATTTTTCAGACACACTCATATTCCAGGTTTTTTCAAGGATATCATCATCCACATCTATGACACAACAGCCTAGTTTCAGCCCTATTATTCTGCCTACTGTTGTTTTCCCAGCTCCAGGCAATCCCATCAGGATAATATTTTTGTCTCCAACAAGAGAGTGAATTGAGTGACATGACTTCCTTAATTCTGCAAGTGCAAAGGTTCTTGAAAGATATAGCTGTGCATGTTTATCCGTTTTAGCATGTATAAAGGAAAAACATTTCTGGGTTATTTGTTTCAGATGTTGACATCGGTTAAAGTGGAGCATTCTCTTTTCACTTTATTCTTTTGCCAAAGCCAATCTAAAAACTGGCTTTAATCCTTTTTAAAACATAAAAACAAGAAAGGACATTTGGTTACTAATTTCAACAGACTTAAAATCCTCACAGGAGTGAATATAACCATGTCCAGAGTACATAAACTATTTTAAAATCTTCCAAATTTATGGGATATTTTTTAAAAGTATTTGAATCCAGCCGAAACCGGTTTGGCTCAGTGGTAGAGCGTTGGTCTGCGGACTGAGGGTCCCAGGTTCGATTTCGGTCAAGGGCATGTACGTTGGTTACGGGCACATCCCCGGTAGGGGGTGTGCAAGAGGCAGCTGGTCGGTGTTTCTCTCTCATTGACGTTTCTAGCTCTCTATCTCTCTCCCTTCCTCTCTGTAAAAAATCAATAAAAATATATTTTTTTAAAAAAGTATTTGAATCCAAATTCTCATATATTGCATATTACGTCTTTAAAAATGTTTTCAAATCTCAAGACACTGAATACTCAAAACTTTAATAATTTGTAGCAATTAGGCAACAGATACTTTATTCAGAAAATGCCATTATCATAGGTGCTTTTTGAAAAAAATATACGGGTCTAGTAATAATTAATGTCGTTTTTAAACATTCGTTTAAAATCTTGCTTGGCGTTGACTTGTATTGACATAACCTTCAAACACGTGGTATCTACAGAACGTGTGAAGTGCAATTAACAAGTTTTGCTTGAAAAAGTTTGGTTTGGTTTTTGTTGCAAAACTAGGGCTAAGAAGATGGCAGATGAAGAGCATATTCGGCACTGCATGCTTTACGAGTTCCAATTAGGAAGAAAAGCAAGTGAGGCTGCAAAAAACATCTGTAGTGCTCTTGGTCAAGATGCAGTTAGCGCCAGAAAATGCCAGTGTTGGTTTGAGAAATTTCGCGAGGGAAATTTTTCGTTAGATGACAAGAGTGGTCGAGGCCGTGTGTCCAATTTTGATCAAGAAGCTCTTCAAGCTCTTTTGGTGCAAAATCCTCAAATTACCCAACAAGAGCTTGCGACAACTTTAAATTGTTCACAAAAAACAATTTCCAATCAATTGCGTGCACTTGGCAAAGTCCAAAAGTTTGGAAAATGGGTTCCTCATGAGTTGACCGACAACAACCGTAATCAAAGAGTCACAATTTGCAGTTCGCTCCTCTCTCGTCAAAACCGTTTGCCGTTTTTAGAGCAAATTGTTACCAGAGATGAACAATGGGTGCTGTATGTTAATTTGAAAAGGAGGCCTCAATGGTTGGACAAAAATGAGGCTCCGCAGCCCATGACAAAACCTGACTTGCATGCGAAAAAAGTGATGTTGTGTGTTTGGTGGAATTTTAAAGGAATTCTTCATTATGAACTTTTACCATCTAACCAAACCATTACAAGTGCAGTGTATAGTGCCCAATTGGAAAGGTTAGCCTAGGGGTGTCGAACTCAATCAGAGAAGGGGCCAAAATCTAAAATCCAGCCTAAATCGCAGGCCGAATGGTTTACTGAACAGTCATAAACTGTCATTGTGATGGAAACGCAGCGGAGTGCAGTGATGACAGCGCGGTGCGGGCCACATTGCAAGGCCTGGCGGGACAGATTTGGCCCGCGAGCCTTGTGTTTGACACATGTGCGTTAGCCCAAGCTTTAAGAGAAAAAGAACCCGAGCTGATTAATCGGAAGGGCGTAATTCTTCACCACGATAACGCACGACCGCATACTGCAAGAATCACTGCTGAAAAACTGCGCCAGTTGGAATGGGAAGTTCTCCCTCAACCTGCATATTCTCCTGATATTGCCCCTTCTGATTACCATTTGTTTCGTTCTTTGCAAAACTTTCTTCTTGGAAAAAAATTTAATAATGAAGAATGCCTCAAAAATGCATTGACCGAATTTTTTGCATCAAAATCACAAGAATTTTACAACAGAGGGATTAAAATGCTTCCTGAGCATTGGGCACAAGTAGTAGAAAACAACGGCAACTATATTGTCAATTAAATTTTGTTGTATTGTTTAAATAAATTCGATTTTAAAAAGTATTAGAAAACGACATTAATTATTACTAGACCTAATAAATCAAATTAGTATTTCTTTTTCCTGTAATGAAAATAGTTTTATATTTTATAACCCATATAATAAGGGTTGTTTAATGTTGGAATGTTAGTTGCTTAGAATTCGCAAAAAGATGATTGTTTTTATATTTAACTTCTCTTTAGTTATATGAACATGTTTATAGACTATCATGTTACTCATACATTTCTTAGATACAGTATTCACAACAGAAAACCAGGATAAAATATTTGCTTATAAAATGCTTAAATAACTTTCCAAACTATCGGGCACAGGTATGATCTTTTATTTCTATGTGACTTTTCTATGCATACTATTAAGAATCATTCTTACATATTCTTCATATTGAAGATCTTTGAAAATAAGCTAGAATGAAAGTTATAACATTATGCAAATAGTTAAAGTGATGATAGGCAGCAAGGTCAAAGGCCACATATCTATAACCTTATCTGCATGGGACCATCACTTTGGTCTCTGTTCTATAAACATCATCAGTGAAGAGACTTAATTCAAATTCCAGACTCCAGAGTGATAGATAAAAAAGAATGTTATCAATGACAAGAGGGAAAACTTATTTTGGAATCCAAAGTAGCTTTGGATACTGTTCAAATTCTTGCTTTTAGAAATATACTCACCATTAAAACATAAATGCATGCCAGACAAGTAAAAAATTTAGTCACATATAAAATTCAAATTAATACTTCTGCAACATTCATTTAAATTGACTAAGATAATTTGACCACTACACAGTGGGGCTTTTCACACATTCTGTAATAGAACCAAAATGCAACTAAACCATATTAAATGTTAGATGATACACTTAAATATGTTCTGAAAACTTTAATTTACTATTCTGATTATCAATTCAACTCAAACTTTGTTCTATAATTAACCATTTAAGCCATTTTAAACTAACACTGAATTTAATTTACAAGTTAAATTGCAACTGTCAAGAGAAGGAATACATTTCTTTATTTGGCTTTTCAACTTATATGTGTTGTGCTTAACTCCCAGTGACTTGTAAACATATGATACACACGTACCAATCTTGATGAAGAGTTTGCAGATGCTGAGACAAAGTCAATCTTTGCAAAAAAATAGTGGAGTCTATAATGGAAAAAATGTCAAGTTAATCATAACTGCATACAGTATCACAAAATTCCACACATAGACTATTCTATTATTATAATGCCCATTTGAAATATTTAAAGTGCAAAAAAAAAAATTGTCCCTTTTCATGTTTTCCCAAGTCTGTTATTAAAAGATGAAGATACTGCTTTTTTCAACAGTATCTTATCATAGAAAATAATTTTACTAAACCGTATTGAAGAAATTTCTGCCATCAAGCTATATAAAATACAACCAAATAATAAAATATATAAAATCTTTCACAATGACACCTAAAATTTTAAGAATTTAACTGTATATTTAGCGATCAGAGGAAAATAAATCATGGAATAAAGCTATGAAATGAGAATCTGAATCAAGACATAATTTGCATCTATTAATACACACTTGTAAAAAGCACAAATGAAGCACTTGCTACACACAGGTACCTCTTGGCCATTTAAATTAATTTGTAATAAATTCAAAGCATGTATCACAGTGGCTGGCACACAGGGATATTCATATGTATAGTAACATTAATCATAGTCACTCAGTGACAATGGCCTAAAAAGATATAAACTGAATCAGGATTTCTTAGCACAAAGATTAGGCATATTTTGTAATGGTCTTGTTTATTTATAAGCCTTCAGAGAAAACAGTGGTACTCATGTGTAAATTAACTGTTTTGACATACGGTACACAGTCTAATCCTTTGCCTAGAGTAAACCAAGGACCAGAGAACTATATGCTTGAACCATATCAGCGACTTCTTTTATTAAATTGTATTCTAATATTATACACTAGCTAATTTTGAGGGACTGTATATAAGACAGCCTTATTAACCTTCTAATCAAAAGACTTTTGCTTATAAAACCACAATGTCTTCTTTTTTTATTTCCCAATGCATAATTTTTGATGTATTAGTAATAATTCCATATTACTTGAATAGCTGGTTTGTTTTTATGGACATTTTGTCTTTTTTTTTTAAATCCTCACTTGATGATATTTTTTTTTAATTGACTTTGAGAGAGAGAGAGAATGAATATGCATATGAGAGAGAAATATCAATCAGTTGATTCCCATACCTGCCCCAACCAGGAATGGAACCCACAATCTTTTGGTGTATGGGACTATGCTCCAACTGAACCACTTAGCCAGAGCTGGACACAGTCTTTTAACTGATCTTTCTTCCACTTTATGCTGGTTACTACAATACTTAATATCAATTCCATTAAAAGAAGACCGTAACACAAACGTGTTAACGTTACTTTATCTTTTGTAGCCCTACTTTCCCTTCTTTTAATATGAATTTAAAATAGAAAATTATGGCCCCAGCTGGTTTGCTCAGTGGATAGAGCATTGGCCTGCACTGAAGAGTCCTAAGTTCAATTTTGGTCAAGGGCACATGCCGAGGTTGTAGGCTCGATTCCCTGTGGGGGTGTGCAGGAGGCAGCCAATCAATGATTCTCTCTCATCATTGATGTTTCTCTCTCTCTCTCTCCTTCTCTTCCTCTCCGAAATCAATAAAAATAAATAAATAAGTAAAACAGAAAATCATGGTCCTGACTCGGTGGCTCTGGTAGTTGGAGTGTTTGTCCCACATACCAAAAGGTGGCGGGCTCAATTCCCAGTCAGGCACATACATAGTGGGGATGCATAGAGGAGGCAATGATATTTCTCCCTCCCTCCTCTCTCTCTAAACATCAAAAAGGCATATCTTTGGGTGAGGATTAGAGAAAAGGGGGAAAAATCATGACAGTTCAATTTATTAATTCTGTATCAATACTATTTCATCATAAAAATCTTCCTGACTCTAGAAAAAAATGCTAAGTGTTAGCACATGTAACAAATATTGTCTTTCTAAAGCAAAATAAAGATGAATTCTTAAGCTACATACTAATTTTGCTTTTATAAAATTTAGCCTCAAACTAATTTTAGGACTTCAACATCCACTGCAAGCAAAGCAAATGACAAGAGAACATGGAATGATGCCCACAGCATGTAACTTTATCTAGAAACAGAATTTTACTTAATACAGTCAATTCTTGTTATTCATGGCACTTGTGTTCTGTAAAGTTACCAAGAATATTAACTTAGTGAATATTAAACCACTGCTTTTGAGAAATACATAACCTTGTTTTATACATGTTTCTGTTTAAAGACATCTTATTTAACATATATAGTTGATTCATTACCAATGCACTCCAGCCAACAGCACTCTTAACTCATGCCTGAATGAAGCTAATCCAACCACATTCTCTCTGTGAGGCACTGATAGCACTGTTGCCTGGGGAACACCAGGCAGCACTTCAGCACTCTGCTTGGGGGTCATTTTTAACAGCAAAATCACCAACTAGAAGCACAAAAATGTGAAAAATGTGGCACTAAATAGAACATGAAAAGGACACTTGTCTACAGTATTAGAGCTGAAACAAGAAGGCACGGAACATGCACATCAGACAACTCAAATTTTTCACCACGGTGTGCATGTCTGAGAATGACTACAAAAGTGTTGCATGTATTAATTAGAGATTATAAATAAATTTTCGCCAGAATTCACAAATATGGAACCTGTGAAAAGTGAGGATCAACTGTATATCATTTTCTCTTCTGATTCAAAGCCATGTTATTAGACATTTTTAAATTTAATTATATGTTAGCATGTTTTTCAGTATAATGGTCATGAACAGGAAATTTTTCCTTAGCCAAAGGACAAAACTATTTGAAATTAAATGAAAGTCAATCACATAGGAGTCAGAAAGCAAAAACATTTTCTTAAAGACCAAATCTCTTGGCCATAATAAAAATTACCTAGTTTTTAATTCCTCTGGGAAATTGTCAGAATCCTCCTAGTCAAAATGATTCAACATTTTTCACCCATTTAAAATATTTGCTATTATAATTCTCTTCCATAATAAAATAAGACATAGTACTTCAAAAATTATCTCCTGATGAGAACTGGCTATATAGTTCAATGAACTTGTTTGTCATCTTATACTAATGCAATCTCTAAATTTCTCAGATGTCTAAACCTAATCCACTATCTTATGAAGATACTGAGGTTTTTAAAAATTATTTTAAATTATTGCATTTTATAGCATTAAATTAATTTCCAAGTAATAAGAATAAAAATATACTAGGACCATGGCCTGCAAACTGCGGCTTGCAAGCCACATGCGGCTTTTTGGCCCCTTGAGTGTGGCTCTTCCACAAAATACCACGTCTTGGGAGAGTCTATTTTGAAGAAATGGCATTAGAAGTTGTTTAAAAACTTTGGCTCTCAAAAGAAATTTCAATTGTTGTATTGTTAATATTTGGCTCTGTTGATTAATGAGTTAGCCGACCACTGTCCTAGGATATAAACTAATGATGTGTTTCTGGGGGGGGGGGTCGGGGGGGGGGGAAGCTCTATGGCTTCTGAACAAAAATCCTCTCAACAAGCTCCTACTTCCATAGGAATTGGAAGTGGAGAGGGTGAAAGGATCACACACCCCATGCCACCTGGTAATCACAGGGATTTTACAAGTTCCTACTCATTGCTTTTACCTGAGTATCAAAGCTGACTAAGCATTTCCTGTTGTCTCCTTTTGCTGTTAGATATCCTCTTAATGGTCTTGAGTATTTAAATCAAGCCTTTTTAAAGTACACTTTTCCATTTTATAACTTAGAAAAATATTTAAAGTATATTTGTCTTTATAAAGCATTTATTTTCCTCCCAATTATCATATTCGTATTCCCACCTACACCTATCTTATTCATCTAAGTAGATTCCATTCATCTTTAGGAAAAACAAAAAACACCTACTTTTTATGTGAAACCATTTATAACAAGGGTCGGTGCCAACCACAACCCACAGGCCAAATTAGCAACACAATTTTGCTTCCATTTGTGCATTTGTTTAGTACTGCCTTTGGCTGCTGCTGAGCTACAATGTAGAGTTGAGTAGTTGCAAGAAACCATCTGACCTGGCAAGGCCTAAATATTCATTAACTAGCCCCTACAGAAAAGGAGCATGATCTCTGACGGCATACCAACACTAATCTCCTGTGGACATATTGGACACAGGCATTTCCTTTGAACAGGACTGCCGTTTTGAGGAAAATATAGAAATTAAAAATATATTCTTTGTAAACTTACTTTCAAAAAATCAAGCAGAATTACAGATCAAGCATCTAAGAAAAAAAAAAAAGTTCCTTTCCAAATGATTTAACAACTTCCATCATGATTGTAAACTAAATATACTATAGTGAGATCTTAAATTCTGCTTAGTAATTTTAAAACCACAATAACTATACTGACATCAGTGAGAACACTGTATCCAGGACACCAGGTAGTTAAGGTTAGCTAAGGCCAGTTGGTACTTATTACCTGAAGACATGCTTTTCTTTGCCCTCAGGGAAGTGATTAACACAAACCATCCCAAGTGTTCCTTCTAATTAAAAAATTTGTGGAAGTTTTGGCCAATGACTATCTATTTGGCTAACGTTATTATCATTCTGAGTCCTAAGTTCAAATCTTAACTTGTATGGAGAACAGAATTTTTCTTTATTCATGCTAAGCAAAAATAAATAAATAAATAAATAAATAAACTGAGAGAACCTAACTTGGCGCGCTCTCCCATCTTGGAGCATCTTTATTCTCCTTAACAGAGTGGCCACTGTAAGGTGGTTCTGACTATCTTCCTTCCCATATCACATTGCCAACATGTCTTTTAGAGATGGGGATGGCAAAAGCTTTTAAATGAATTTCTCTCAGCAGTCACCCGTGTGCAAGTTGGTTTATGTGGAAGATCGATCAAATGGGTTGAGAACGGACAAAAAACCGCTTCTCACAAAGACAATTTTCAAAAATGGACACCAAAAAAAAAAAATAAATAAATAAATAAATAAATAGGCAAAATTACAGAGCCCATATAAAAGGCTTCCTCTGGTTCAGGCTAATCATTTAAAAAACAAGTCCAGCCAAAACCGGTTTGGCTCAGTGGAGAGAGCGTCAGCCTGCAGACTGAAGGGCCACGGGTTCGATTCCAGTCAAGGGCATGTACCTTGGTTGCAGGCACATCCCCAGTGGGGTGTGTGCAGGAGGCGGCAGATCATTGATGTTTCCAACTCCCTCTCCCTCTCCCTTCCTCTCTGTAAAAAAAAAAAAAAAAAAAAATTAAATCAATATATAAAAATTAAAAAAATTAAAAAATAAAAAGGCCACACCCTAGTGGAGAAAGACCTAAGAGGATGGGACCCATCAAGGGGGAGACGGGCGTAAAGCAGGGAAGCGGAGAGGCGCAGGGCCCAGGGAGGAGCGGGGAGGCAGGTGGGCCGCAGGCCTGGCGGCCGCGGGCGCCCACCGAGCACCGCCAGCCGAGGACCGAGGCCGGGGCAGCGGAGAAATGAGCGGTGATGACCAGGCGGCGCAGAGAGGGGAGGGCGCGAAGAGGAGAAAGGCATGCGATGGGGGCGGACTCATGTAGGCCTCCCTTTCTTTCTCCTGCAATAACTCACCAAGAAAACCACACTGAGAAGACGGGGAAAGAGAGAGAATAGGAGGGGGTGTCCAGGAGCAGCCAGTGTCGCCTCAGAATCGAACCCCAGATCGCCGGCCCTGGCCCCCTGACCACAGCCCAGGCCACGACCTCTCCAGGACCGCCCCCCCGCGCCTGCGCATGCTCCGGGCAGCCCTGCGCTCCGGCGCGCGCGCCACACCCACCTCCAGGGCCGCCCGGCACCAGGCACGTGACTCCCGTCAGGCTCCTCCCACGAGCTATTTCTGGCCCCTCCCCTACCCGATCCGCTCTCCACGTGGGCCGTGCGTGGGCGTGGCCTCGGCCTCTGGCCCCGCCCCTGCCGGGATGGGGACCTGCGCGCCAGAGCTTTATTGTGTGACCTCAGCACGCCCGCTGGGCTTGTGTGTCTGACTTTCTCCATACATACAGAGACAGAAAAAAAAATTTTTTAGGTGGACGCCGTTTTGCACCCCTTGGCTCCCAAAGGCACACGTAAACAGTGGTGTCCATATTGAGCTTTTAAAGAACGAGCTGCGGTGACGGGAGAGGGGAAGCAAGGTTTGCAGCGGGGGCCACCCACTTCCCCGTTGCCTAGTAACTGTTTCCACGGCAAACGCGCGGTCCAGACGCTCAGCAACCCCAAGAGGAAGAGAAAGGATAGCTGTCCTCCTCCCAAGAGAGGAAGGCGAGAAGGGGCCCAAGGGGAACTGTGTGAAAGAGAGAAACCTTAGTCCCTTGAGAAGGCAAGAGAGTAGGATAGGAAAGGGGAAGCAGTGAAGAAAGGGACTGAGATACTGGTATTTTTTTTTTTTTTAAGTAGTTTGGAGGAGCCCTTTGGTGGCCATGGATCCAGCATGCCCTTCTGAGAGCATTTACAACCTCATACCCAGTGACTGGAAGGAGCCTCCCCCGCCTCCTAGGTATGTGGGCCATCCAAGATTATCGCTTAAAACAAGAATGCGGAATAATTCTTTTATTTCGGGGTTAATCAAAGCATCATATAACTTTTAAAAAGAAATAAAAAAATACTTTTGTCTCGATGAAGTAACCTTGAATAACTTCTTAAAGAAAAGTATCCAAAATGTAGCTACTAGTATCTCAAAAACAGAGAGGGTGATCCAGTGCCATGTTATGTTAGTCTCCTATAATAGGGCATGTAACTGTTTTTGTAATTTACCTGATTGTTCACACATGATATATAATAGTGTGAAATTTCTCGTTGAAAAAAATTACAATTTTATTGTCCAGTGTTAGGATAGTTCACAGTTCACTGTTTTATTTCTGACTGCTCTTTTTCTAAGGGTGTAGTACTTATTTTCTCCCCAAGATTATTGTCAAGTATAAATTTGTTTCTGAGCCTCAATTTTTTGATCAGTAAAACAAAATAGACAGACTAGATAGTTTCTAAGGTCTTTTACAGGTCTAATAAATGGAAGGAAGAGTGGATGGAGAACCAAAAAGATCTAACTCAGTTAAAAATTTTACATAGGTGATAGGACCTCCTAAACTCCCCAGTTTCAAAAAGGTCATCACTAAGTAAACATCCATTTATGCTCCTTTATAGAGACTTAGAACTTATTTACATCTATGGGGAGAAAATCAGTAGGAAATGGAGAAAATCTTGTCTCTCCTAATACTTGGCTGTCTTTTACCGTTCTCCTTTTCCTGATTTACGTGAAAACCACATTGAAAGAGCACTGGGCTAGGAGAGAAAAAAAAACCACAAACATCAACAACAAAAAACAGGGGATTCAACTAATTGGTTTGGGGATCATGAATAAATTTTCATTTGAATCTTTATGGCCCCTTTCAGTCTAATGGTCAGTTATTTTTACTAGTAATCACTTGGGGTGCATATCATCTTCAATAAGTTCCTATGTTTAATTTTTATATTCCTCACACAAGGATATTTTTCCCATTTATTTTTGAGAGAGAGTGGAAGGGAGGGGAGGAGGGGAAGAGAGAGAGAGAGAAATATTCATGTGAGAAAGATACATCACCTCCCTAAACTCCCTAACGTGCCATGACCTGGGCTGGGGAGCAAACCAGAAACCCTTTAGCACACCCACTGAGACTAATCATTGAGCACCACCGGCCTGAGTATCTTTGCTTTAAGCACCTACATTGATTTCCATTAGTTTCTCAAAATCTAGTAGAAATTGGAAAGGGGGATATAAAGTAAGAAGATATAACACCATTGCACAGTTTATGAGGAGTGTTCAAATTAACTATTGGTAAATGGACATTTGGTCCAGAATTCCTGTATATTGTACAAGATAAAGTTCCTCCTTTCAGTAACCTGGTAGATTGTGTTTTCTATAGAGGGCTGAATTTGAATGGCATGATACTGTATTAGGTGTTCTGTTCATTGGTAAATTTAAAAGCTTTACTATGCATGTAGGTGATTTTTTCAAGAAATTTTATAGGAACACTCATTCTTCATTGGGCAAGCATTACCTGAGCTCCTATTAGGTGTACAATATTGCCCTTGAGAAGTGTTGCAGTGAGAGCACAAACTTTTTGGTTTGCTCTTAAGCAGTGTGTGAAAAAAAAAAAAAAAAAAAGGAACTTATGCCCTAACCAGTTTGGCTCAGTGGA